GTAAAAATGATTTTATAGGAATATATATAAAGCTGTCATTCAAAAGCAGCCAGATCATACGCCAGAGCAGTTAAATTTAATCATTAAAACCGGCTGGCACATCCAGAGTCTCGCAGGCTGATATGCTATAAGCAACCACACAAAATAAATTAATAATGATATATTTATCACTTAAACATTTTTCTATTATTAATATATTTAATGTGACATAGCAAGAAAAAACCGTGCTTCTTTTTGTCAATGTTATGTAACGAAATTTGGTGGGGAGGACAGTTGTTTCTCATATTTTCATTGTTGGTTTCAGGTTGTAAAACCAACGATACACTGATTCAAAATGGTACAGAAAAATGTATTGTTTTTTTGTTGTTTTTTTATGCACTGCATAGTTTTTATTGCGTGCCGAGAACATGTGAGCAGTGCTTGCTTGCCTTGTTGCAACGAGCCTGAGCGTACCATTTCTATGCAGTTGATTGTCAAATTTATTTGCCAATTATTATAAACAGCCAGTGTCCCCTGTCACCCCTACTTGACTGTCTGGGTGACGTTAAGGCTTGGTTATTAAAAAACTTTCTTAAACTAAATGAGAGCAAGACAGAGGTGTTGGTGTTTGGCAGTTCCATCTCTGATGTGGGACCTTTCAAGGATTTTGTAAACTCCAAAGTAACCAGCCTTGGTGTCACCATAGACAGCGATGTTAAACTGGACTAACAAATAAAAAGCATTTTAAAATTGTGTTTTTATCACCTCTGTCTTTTATCTAAGGTAAAAAGGTTGTTTTTTTTTGACTGCCTGCGTCTTTTAACAGGGATCAGAAAAAAATAGTACACCAATTCATCAAACTCTGCCCATCAACCTCTGTTTATTTTAGAATTCTTAAGTTTTTATTGTTTGTGTTTAAAGCTTTGAATGGGATGGCTCCTCCATACTAGGGTGACCAGACGTCCTCTTTTCCTGGACATGTTCTACTTTTCATACCTAAAAAAATGTCCAGGGGGAATTTCAAAATCGTCCGGGATTTTGGTCAACTACAGTGCAGCAGAACCGAGCCGTCAGCACCGCGGTGAAGTTGGTTTGAAATTGGATATTAGATATTCAAGCTCCCCGAAGTCAGAGGGATCTAGCGAACGGTTGATCCGACTGAGGGACTCTGATGTTGGCCAGCGTCTCTCAGCTGCTCCCACACGCGGTGGTGCAGTTATGGACCGTCAACAAATCCTTGAACCAAGCACTCTAGAGAAACAAAAATCAATAAATTCCTTATCTTATGACCAGCTAAGACAAAACTATTATAAAAATCATGCCAATAGATAACATATGCACGGCACACTTGCTATTATGCAATTTTAAGCTATTTTCCATTTTAAAGATATTTTTAAAGACAAAAGCTGGGACTTTTCTTCCATAGCTTACAGGTCATGTGACCTGACTCAAATTCTTTGTGAAACTGTTTTACTACATTAGCCTGATGAGGCACACTCATTTTTATTCAATTTTAAGCCTTTGTATGTGTTTGGGCACGCGGGGCAAAGCATACCATCACCGGATTGGGTTCAGTCTCTCCGTTCCAGGCTGGCTTCGGACCGGGACTAGGAATAGCTAGAATCAAGACATGCTTTCCCACCACAGAAGATGGATCAATCTAACATTGTTATGACCTCCTGGTCTGGGTGTTTGGTGTCAGGCACTCAGAACGTTGGACCCAGAATTCAAGCAGACAGGTCAGATTCAGAAACAAGTGTTTATTAAAAGCATGCGACTGCTCGTCAGCTGGGGTGGGCTCACTGGATACTCTGTAGAAACTGAGACTCAGGTCAGTGATGTGAAAACTCAGATGGGGAATGATAAAGAGCATGAACTTTACCAACCTGGTAAATTTCAGTCTAAGCCAAGAAGAAGGAGTGAAGTCCAGAGGAGTGGTTACTCCGTAGCTTGTGACAGAGCCGATTTTGGAGATCCAGGAGAGAAGAGGAGCAGCGACCAACAGAGGCTGGAGCATGCAGAGGAATAGAAAGATAAAGAAGGATTAATCCAAGGCGGGGTCAGAAGACAGGAGGTTTATAACAGATCTAGAACAAACCTAGAGGTAACAACTACTTAATAAGATCAGGCAAACCAAGAGCACTTAAAAAAACAATTGTTAAATGTCTCAATTATCTACACATAAATGAAAATCAGGTCCCACTCTTCTAAAATATTCAAAAATAACAAGTACAAATAGTAAATGTAACTTTTTATTAACAGTAAAGAATTGCCTTTAATGACATCCACAACTAGCACACTGCAAAATCAACAATATTTACAACAAATAACTTTTAAAGGGTTCATTATGCTTACCACATGGACAGCATTTATACTCTGTGGGGCTTTCCCTCAGTCTGGCCAGCCCTGTCAACATGCTCAAACATCAAGATGACAACACCACTACAAAAGGGAGTACAAAACACAGGCATTTAAGACTTTATAAAAGCATTTTCATGCTGTTTTAGAGCCACAGTAATTTCTCTTCTGGAGTTTTCCAACAATCTGTTGATGATGATATGTATGGCCTGAATCATGGGGTGTCTATAGATGTCTGCTGGCTTACTCCCTACATTTTCTGTCCACATCTGACCCAATTGTTACAAATTTTCCTAGCTGCTCCATGCAGACATTTTCTAGACAAGGACTTCATGCAGAGGGGTGTGGAAGTCTAAAATGCTTTGAGGATGCCTCAAGTATAAACCAAGCTTTAGTCTGCATTACCAAAACTGTATGAAAATTACATTGCTAAGAACTGTACATGAAGGAAATAAATAGAAGGAATCTATATAATGTTATAGATAGCATTGCAGTGACATCCCACTGCTATCCTTACAATGACTGCTTCCATTTTAAGAGGCATAAAATGTTCCTTAGCAACCACAGAGGTAAACAGTACTCTCATTAAATTTTGCACGTGGTTTGACTCTTTGAGTCTATGATTTATCAATACCTAGAAAGGTATGAAAACATAAAGGCAAAGATGATGAAAAATGTGCACTAATTCAGCTGGGGAATGGTTTCAAGGTGGGAAGAGGCTACAGCTGACAAAGGCTAGCTATAAAGTCTAACTGCGGAGGATCGAGGGAGCACGGCGGAAATTCTAATAAGTCTGTTAGGGAAAAAGTGCCAGGGTGGGGAGAGGCTACTGCTGACTGAGGCTAGCCTGTAGGCTAACTGTGGGAAATGGAATGAGCACAGCGTTCGATCAGAGAAGCATAGGCATGACAAACCGTGAAATAGTCCCTTGTTAAAGATAGGCTCTGTGTATGCACCCTGATGCACTTTCCCTGAAAAGAAATCACTCGCGACAAACTCTTTAAATAACACTTCATAACTTATATTTATTAAATAACAAGGAGGCATGACAACAGATTTTGATAGGAATTCTAATCTTACTCAGATCAGAGAAATTGCTTAGGGTTACAGAATGGCAGCTACTCACCTCTGGCCTCAACTCCCAGGAAGTGTCCCTAATTAACGGTTAAAAAGGCATTTTATACATCTCCAGTCTGCCACAGCATCTTATTTTACATCGTATACTTTCGCAGATGGCTAGACATCCATGTTCCCAGCCTTATCAAAATTTTACACGTAGCTGAAGGACACCGCTCTCATTCATCCATACGCAGACTTCGATATCAGACTGAATTACAGTAGGCCTATCCATATACACTCAGAACTATTTTAAAAACTACTGCTGTTCTATGTCCATTGAACCCATCCATCCCTTTTTTTGGCATACTTATCCCTGCTGGGGTCGCAAGGGGAGCTGGCGAGACGCACAAAGATGCATACTCTACACACACTTTAAAAAAAATTTACCTAACAGTCATGTTTTTGGACAGAGGGAGGAAGCCGGAATACCCGGAGAGAACCCACACATATACAGGGAGAACATGCAAACTCCATGCAGAAAGACCCCGGGCTGGGAATCAAACCCAGAACCTTTTTGCTGCAAGTCAGCAGTGCTACTCACTGTGCCACCTTTCTTTTTTTTACACCTACTTCTCATGTACCTTTTCTCCTTATTTCTTTGTTTATTGCAAGAAAAAAGCAGACAAAGACAAGTCCTGCTTTGCTACAGTGTTAAATTGTGTAGGTATGGCGGTACTTAGATTACCTAGTTAAATTTACTTCAGTAGTACTTCTTATAAAAGTCAGAGCAGCTGTTGTCAATGGGGCTGTTCTGTCTATCAAAGGCACATTCATAAATGTAACTGAGGTTACTAAGAAACAGGAAGAACAGAGCTGTTGATGAAAAGCTCACTGTTTACTCACTCTCACACTCAACAAAAATGAATGTATTTACCTATCTGAAAATTAGCCACAAATAACATTTCATACAAACTCACAGTGAGAAACAACCTGCTAAGGTGACTAAAGTTAATATGATCTAAAGAGGTCATATTTCATTAGTGAAACCCCAAACAATGTAGGGTAAAGGTTTATTTCACGTGGTAAAAACAACATTTTCAGTAGCAGGAAGTAGCTGGGAACTAAGCAACCATTTTTCGTTTGAAAAACAGTTGACAAATACATCATTTACATGTTACTGTGTAAAAGTATATCTGTGAAATACCACTAATAAACTCTGAGGGCATATTTATATTTTGTGATTGCAATGTGAAGATGACATATGGGACACACCAATATTTATTTTTTATCTCATGTAAATAAGATAAAAATGTCTGAATTTGAATGAACCAGCTAACAGCTAAATATTTGAATAAGGGTGTGATTTATTTATTTCTATGAAAGCTGCAGTGGAGGAAGCAGAATTCACTCAGGCGGTTAAGTGAACATCAGAGTGGAACGAGGACCAACTGCTGAGGTGAGGGAGGCTGTTAAACATGAACTGACAGAAAGTTTTCTTTTTTTATTTGCCTAGTTTCATTTCAGAAAGACCGTCATTAATCTGAGTACATTGTTTACAACAGCTATTTTCACTAACTGCATACTAACATTTTTTTCCTTCCAAGATGCTGTGGAGTTTGGTTTTCATCTGGGTTATAAGTAAGTGGCTCATTTTATTCAGCTGAATGTCTTTCTCATTAATGTAAAAATATTACAGAGAGAAGTAAGAGTTCAGATTCACAACATCAGATCTACTTTGAAAGAAATTAATTTGTTGTTTTAAGGATTTTTAAAAATGTAAATATTAGTGTTATTTCAATAACTTCTCTGGTATTTACAGCAACCCAAAATGTAGCTGTGCAGACAACAGGTAGGATCAAATATTCTTTGTTAAACAGATAATTTCTGCTGAAATAAATCAAAACGTTAGATAAGCTATATATAAGCTAAATGCAACACAAAGTTGAATCTTTTTTCTTTTATTTTTTGTATTTGATCTCCAGATCTCTGCAACAAACAGAGAAAAAATCTGACAGTGAAGAATGCATCTCAGTCCTCAACCTTAGATGATGGACGCGTACCATTGATCCCTCCCAGAGCCTTTGATGAGAATCCCAATACATGTTGTCGCACCCAGAAACAGACTAACCCCTGGTGGAGAATTGACCTGCAGGGGATTTACAACATTTCCTGCATCTCTATCTATACTAAACCAGAGGATGTAGATTACATATCTGGAGCTCAGATCTACATCGGGAACTCTCTAGAGAACAACGGCACCAACAACAGGCTGTAAGAACAACATGATACCTTAATGGGATTTATTTCATATTTTTATACCTTAAAATAATATTTTGAATAACATGTCAATCTATTCAATATAGTTGTTTTTAATTATTTATCTTTGGAGGCAGTTTTCAAACATGGAAGTCAATGAAATATTTTTTGCCTGAGTCTCAGAGAGCTGAAAGTCATTGAAGTTTTTAAAATGCAACCATCACAATCTCACTGCTTTCCTTAGTGGTTCCTTCTTTTGCATCTTTTGTCGCAATAATGTTCAGTAGTATTCAGTGTCTGATCAGCTGTATGTTTGGATATTTTTCCTCATCCAGGGTTTACAACATCACAGAGCAAGGACAGGAGATAAAATATAAAAACCTTGTTATGATTGCCTTCAGCTTTCCCACATCAGCGTTGGGGCGATACGTCACTGTGTTCAGACCAGGCCACAAGCATCTGGTTCTTTGTGAGGTGAAAAGCACTGGCACAGGTATGTCTGATTTAATTTAAAAGTCTATGATTTGCAAAGTCTATTGTTGACACGCATCAAGACACATCAAAAGGTCCTCCTGTTGTCTTGAACAAAGGGACCAGAGCATCTTAATAAATTGGAGCAATCAAACTAAAACTCATGGGCTTCTGAGCATCTGAGGCAAGCATGTGCTCATGTGAAGTGCTATGATCTTTCCTCTGAAGCAGTGTATTAATGCCTAAATTAACATAAAATGCTGTAACCTGCCTGAAAAATATGTTGGCTTTTATTATTCTGGCGCTCTGGCACTATTTTTACCTACTTACAACAGCAAATATAGCAAAGCCACTCTCTGCCATTTAACACAGTAGCAGCATAAGCATCAGACACATCTGTACAGACTATACTGAACACGCTTCTGGAGCGTCAAAGATGCTGTTGAGGTGCTTCTGACCTTTATGTGGACAGGCATAAAAAATGAACAGATGCTTCTTTGCTGCTAAAATCACATGTGTGTGAATGTAGCATTAGGGGTCTATTGAGCAGGGGTGGGTCATTAACCTGGTGTGAGGGTTTGGTTGAGGTTTTGAGGCCCCAAAATGCAGAGGTAAGTTCTGGAGGATTTGATTAAACAACTGACGCAAAAACCAAAGAACAAAATACATGTAATCAAAAACCCGGTAACTTCATGGGAAAAACTCATGTGGGAAGCCAGAAAAAGACGAACCAGCACTAAGGAACTGCACAGGGAGAGTATGGCTCTGTTCGAATTCATGGGCTGCATCTTCCAAAGGCCAGATTCGAAGGTCGATTATGTCATAGCGTGGCGCCAAGGTCTGGTCGCATTCCAAGACTCCTCGTAATGCATCCAACAAATGCGTCCTTCTTTTTGCCCGATTTTAAGGACGGGTCCAATGTATCCTCGCTATCCTTGGATATCCCAGGGTTCATTGCGAGACCAAGTAAGCCGGCTGCTCCGTTACAGGGGAAATGGTACTTGGCACCGAACAGTGGTGAATATTGGAATTTCAGTTTAATATAATACAATTATGTGAATAGTTTAGTCTGAAATGAATGAAAATCGTTGTTTTAATGGATATTCAGTCAGATAATGTTTGATTTATCTAAAGATTTTTATCCATTTCTGTGTTAATGGGTTTGGCTGTAATTTAAGAACAGATTCTAATATATCTGCAGTGCGTGGACTATAAATCTGATAGGATTTTTATTTTTTAATTACTATTTTGAACAATTTGCTTATGGATTTTTGTGTTGTTGAAAATAAGATATTTTGCAGATATATTTTTATACATACATTGTTTAGATTTACTTATATCTTTCTACCCTTTTATAGAATTGAATAGAAAATCTCTCTATTGTCCCACAATGGAGAAATTTACAGCAGCAACAAGATTATCGGAAAAAAAAAATGGTCACACAAATGTGGACCTTAGTAAAATGCTTAAGAATAATATAATAGTGTAGAGTTAAAATATAAACAATAAAATACGGTACTGTAAAGTGCTCGCACATTTAAAACTGTGCACCTGGAGAATAAATAACCAACTATGGACATTTTTACAGTAATGGATATTTGAAAATAGCAGCAACATCATAGATGTGCAAAATGAAAGCAGCATGTTAATGTAACTAAGGTTTATATCATTACATTTGCTTTTATGTGTTCATGCTCCCACTGGTTGTCCCCTTTCTTCCACTCTGTAGTCTTATGAGAAGTCTTTGTTTACTTTACAATCATAAAAAAAAATTTAAAGAAACTGGTTGAGAAGTTCAGTACTCATTCTTTTCCTGCTTTATATATCATATAACCTTCTGCAGCTTTCTCCAAATGATCCTGTCCCGGTAGACCGCGTCCTTGGAAGACACGGCCCATAAATTCAAACACAGCGCACATGACAGGAATAAGGAGCTGATTGGGAGCAGCTGTGAACAGAGGATTCTAGATGGGAGCTATGGAAAAGGAGACCAACACAAGAGGGCACAAGAGGGCAACCAAGAAAAAACTAAGAACTCACATATATTCATAAAACACAACAAAATAGGAATTAAACAAATCAAACTAGAAAACAAAGAAAAACTTGGATCAAAGTGAAATTGAATACTGTTATGCCCCCAAGGTCTAGGGGTTCTGGGGAGGTAACATAGGTCAAATAAGTGGAATGTAAAATGATTTATTACAAAAGATTGTTTAACAGACCCAAAACACAATACAGCTTAACCCAATTAAAAAAAAAAGAAAATAAAACAAATTCAAGAATGGTTAAGTGCAAATCAAATTACAACCTGTCCAAACCAGACAGACTAAGTTTAACTCAAAACAACCCAAAAGAAAAGACAAAGGAGCTCCAAAGCTCCCAAACACAAGCTTCTGGCTTGAGCAAGTCCACCTAAACCAGATTCAGAAAAATAAACAAGCTAGGTCAAAGAGTTCTAACTACCCAAAACAGCTTGAAACCAAAGGTGAGGGAACAGCTTAACAAAACCTTCTTCCTACTAGCTGTCCCCAAACTGAAAGCCTTCCAGGAGCCATTTATATGGTGCAGGTGGGCCTCATTAGCATCCTGATTGGCTTAACAATCTTCTGCTGGTCCTGACATGTTACTGCTCCTCTGCGGCCTTCAGGCAGCCAACAAGGAAGATTCCTGTCACAGCTGAACCTGCATAAGAAAACAAGCCTGCACAGTCTTAAAAGGCCAGGGCCCGTGACAAATACTCAAAAGAAAACTTAACAGAATCAACACCGTGACAGCTGGATGCTCAGTGCTTATTGGCTAACATATTTAGGGACTTTTGACTGAAGTGGCTGGGCATAAAGGAGATTTTCCTCATGAGTCGAGAGGAGAAGAAAAAGACATCACTCAGTCAGATCAGTTATTTTGTGCTGAACTTGACATGGTTGCTGGAGTTTCCATTTGCTGGTTTCTTGTTGTTTTGTTGCTTCTTCATCTCTTGCTCCCCACATGTATTTTTCCTGATGTTTATTTAAGTTGTGCAAAATTATATCCAGCAGATAATGAATAAATGATTAACTAGAACTGGAGCTTTAGTTATATTATTATACTTTTTAACTTATTTAAAATCTGAGGTGAAATCAGTTTAGGGTTCTTAGTTGAATAATTGTAGCTTTAATTTGCTTACTTACCAGGGTTTATGCCTTTCACCTCTGGATGGTTCCTGGACCAGCTATTAAAATCCAGGTATCCAAGCCAATCTAGTGACCCAGGCTCGGCTTTCAGCAGAGCTATTAATTATCAATCAAAGAACGATTTATCTCTGTTTATTCACACTGTTACCAAAAGGGGGTGGATCTGGCCTGAGTGATAAATCGTCCTCTATATGAATAACAAGACCACTACAAGTTAAACAATGACGTCTTTATTCTAATAATTCAGGATTACAGAAATCTAACATCTATGCAAAACACTACATGCTATTAGAAAATAAACACAAGGCAGACTAAATGAGTAGTTTAAAGAAACTAAATAAAAATAAAACCATAAGAGTCCGTTTAACTGGCTTCTGAGATTGTCCAAGATAGGCCAGATCTTAATACATTCACTAATGTCCGTTGGAATAGCAGCAAGTATAATGATAACAACAGTGCAATTGAAATAACATAAAAATAAAACATTCAGCATAAAATGATAAATGGTAAAAATGCCTTAAACAACAGCAGCAGAAGTCGTTTTAGCAAAACGGCATCAATAGAGAGAGAGAGAACCAGAGAGAGTCCAGCCCAGCCCAAAAACACATATTCAAAATCAGATTGAGATCCTTCATAGTTCCCTAAGCTGATTTATTTACTCATTAGAAGAGTGGAGGAGGTACTGCCTCTTGTGGAAGACTATTTGGTCACCAGAAATATAAGTAAAATCTGTAAAATATGGCGAACATTATTTATCTTGCGTAAGTTACTCATTTCTTTCTGTGTTAAATATTTTAACGTCTTCAATAACAGTACATTATAAAAAAACAAAAATGAATACCAAATCCATTATTACAATTATAAGAGACCAGTTTCAGCAGAACAATAAGAGGTTTTATCATAGAGCTTGATGCTAAATTATAGAGAAAGATGCACCTGTGTTACAGTTGGAAAAGACTCTGAAAGTTTCTAAGTAACAAAACAAAATATTTTTCCTCATCACTTTTCAGGAGGAATGAGTAGAATTTAGCAAACTGCTGATAAAACAAAATGTTATTATTTTCGTTAAGTTTATTTTAGTGCTGTCAATCGATTAAATTTTTTAATCGCGATTAATCGCATCAATGCCTAAGTTAACTCGAGATTAATCGCATTTTAATCACACATTTCTTTTCTGATTGAAAATCATTTAAATACTCTCGATGACATACAAAAAATACATACAGGCTGGGTTTCTGCCAATGTTCTTTTTTTAAAATGAAAACAGGTCACAGATACTGATTTATGCCATAGAAACATATGGCAAGAAGATGGGGAGGCATGTAGCAAAAAATAACAAATATGTAGCCAAAAAAAAAGGCTCAGAAAACAGGCTGATGTAAATGACAGTCTTTACAGTTAATACAGTCTTTTGAACAAAGACAAGCATTTTACCCTACTGCTATAAAATGCAGTAGAGTTAACATTAGATGTCAATTAACCAAGGTAATAATGAACAATTTTCAATCAATACATCAAAATCAATAGACCGACATCACTAGATGGAGGTAGTCTATGCTCTAGAAAGTTACTTTTCAGCCTCTTAACAAAAATGAGAACACACACACACCCACACACACACACACGATACTGACCTGTGGCGTACACAGACAGCAAGAGTGCTGTAGCAGATTCCATTTCACCTCAGTAATCAGTTTTCTCAGCGTATTTCAGGTTGCTATAGGCACCAGACACTCAACTTGTTTGTTGGTGGTGGGGCTTAAAGAAAAGGCACTAGCGCCACCCAGTGTATGAGCTTCTTTTTTCCTTGAGGAGCTCCGCTCTGGAAGCCTATGAGAAATGCATACACTGGGGGAAAATAGCCCCGCCTTCTCGCAGGCTGCAGCGGGATGTACTTGGAAAATTGTACCATAAAACCACATAGCGTTAACCTCACGTTAAAAAAATTATCGCCATTAAAATGGCCTCGCGTTAACGCGATAATAACGCGATAATTTTGACAGCACTAGTGTATTTCATTCATAGGCGTTATGTTATATTCTTAGTGCACATTTCAAGGTAATTCAATTTTAACTATGGGTTAGAAGTTTGTTCCATTATTTTTGCATGCAAAAAACACATGTTGTGAAGGAAGATAAAAAAACAAAACATTTTTTGTCAATGGAAGCTGGAAAACAAAATGGAATCCAGTGAGTAAATATTGCCACCAGGAGATGACTGGACAGAGCATGGGGGAGGAGGGGGGCTGTGAAGCTCAAGGTAGACCCTTGGCTTGTTGTGCTAATATACTAAAGTTTATCCACGTCTAGTGAAGGTAAAGAATGATGAAGTGTCTATGTATCGGGCACGTTTCGGGTCGGTTTGTTTACGGTGGAGTGGACCGGGGACTCCCTCAAATTAGTTTTTGGAACTTGGGATGTCTGTAACATGTGGTGGTGTGCTGTCACCAATGGTTCCATTCAAGGTGCGCAGTTACTATTTTTCCGTGTGTGATCATATACTACAGAGAATTGCATAACTGTATCTTCTTGGCCGATTTATGGAACTGTCGCCACATGCAACAAAAGACCACAGGCCGGATTGGAACCTGGGTCAGCTGCATTGAGGACTAAGGCCTCCATGGGTCGTGTCTGATAACCACTGCGACACCAAACGCGCCACCTGTCCATTTCAATAGCAGAATAAAGCAGTTCCTTCTCATCTCATAAAATGCTTGAGCATCTGTAGATCATCCACAACGGAGCCACAAAAAATATTACTTTAAATTTAGCACTTCTTATTTGCAACTTTTGAAGATGGGGTTAAGAAAGTTTAAAAAAACCTCATTATCAAATGAGGTCACTAGATTCTTCAAATTTGGTTTGTGTAATAAAATTCATGTATTTGTCAAATGTCATTTTGCAAGACTATGCATCTCAGTAAGTTCAGTGAAAAGTAACGTTGAGGAATGTTTGAGCTTTACCTCTAACAACAGCAACACTTTGTCCCACAACTTCACTATGTGCCATGAAAATTTTTATGCAAATAACATGCAAATAAGCAAAAACAATGCTGTACTTTGAAAATAACATGTCATAGATATAAAAGCATCCACTGAGGGAAGTGGGGAGATACAAACCCTGATCTGAGCAATTTGTCTGTCAAAACAGTTGAAACACAAAACATAAACATATTTAGCTCTTTTATAGATTTTGTCTGAGGCCAATCTATTTGACTTGTAAATGAGATCATTTTTTGTTCAGTCTTGATATTTTAAAATACTAACTTACACCAAAAGTAATGAATATCATAGATAATAAACATACCAGTTAATTCCAATATTACTGCCACTGACCTGCTAATGCTCAACAGAAGAAAAAGGTGTTAATTATAAGGCAGGAAGCTGAAATTTTGAAAAGCTGAACTTTTATTAATTAACTTCTTTCTCATGAGGGTTGAGAGAAATTTAGCATGTAAAACCAAATGTTTTGGTTGTTTTATGAGGCTATGATTAGTATATTATTATAGCTTTCAACTCATAGCCTTTAATACACATTATGCAGGTATTATGTCAAGGTAAATTAATCATAACTAGGAGTGTTATATTAAGGAAACCAATATAACATGTATTCTAAGTATTTCACTTTTCTTCAGAACCGGCCTGTGATGGACCAAAAATAAATCTGATGGAGAAAAAAGCATCTCAGTCTTCAGTGTACATTAAAGATGATACCAATTACGCTGCTGACAGAGCCTTTGATGGGAAAATCAACACATGTTCTCACACTACGGAGCAGACTAACTCCTGGTGGAGAATCGACCTGCAGGGGGTTTACAACATTTCCTGTATCTCTGTTAAAAATTTTGAACAGGGTTCTACGACTGACCTATCAGATACTAAATTCTACATTGGAAACTCTCTGGAGAATAACGGCACCAGCAACATACTGTAAGAACCCCATGTTTGCTTTGTGCGATTAAATTTACCTTGCTGGGCTTTACCATGTGAAATCCAAAATAAATAATTCCTTTACAGACACTTTAAAATACATATTGACTCATTACTGAAGTAGAAACCTGTCAATCACTGCACAAATTTGCAATGTTTTGGTTAGATACCTGTCCTAAATATTTAAAAACAAATTTATTTAAAGCCTCCCTAAATTGTTCATTATTGGGTTTCACATAAAATGTTAAAAATGCTTTTATGAATTCTGTATGTCTTTGATGTTTGCGGTGAATTTGCCAAATTCTGCTCCATCTGTATCTTCAGAGGAGCTTAATTCATTTGGCTGAATATGAAGTAATTGATTGTTAGCACTTTCTACGGGGTTGCTGTTATTCTGTCGAGTTATTATAGGGTTTGTTTTTGTCTATTTTTTAGGATTCCACACGGAACATATCGCTACAATGTCTTTAGGTTTGACATATCAGTGTTGGGACGCTACATCACTGTGATCAAAGAAAAAAAAGAACATCTGGCTCTCTGTGAAATATCCATCACTGGCACAAAAATTGGTATGTGTTTCATGTTTGTCATCTTCCTTCAATGGAATGTTACAGTGGTAAAAAACGGGTTAAAGTTCTATTAAATGCAAATATTGTATTACTTTACATCTGCACATTGTACTGCATACAACATCTAATGTGACATCTTTGCCTAGGGTCCTCTTTCTCTAACACTCATCCTGTGGCAGATGAGTGTTTAAGAAAGAGGAACACAATCGCCTACAACTAATGTTGGGCATTTGCTAACAAAATATAAATCATCATGAAATAAAGGTTCATTTAAAGGTACCATATATTAAATTTAAATAGCATTAGTTTAGAGCTATATAGAGTTATATGTGTTTCTTCTCCATTCAGCCTGGAAGATAGAAACTGCCCCTTGTATTTAAGTAGTATCAAGATCCATTCTGTATTTATATATTTCACTGTAGTAATTCTATTTAATGCTGTGAAATCTTTGCTTGTTTACTGTGCTGCTGTGATTACAGACAGTTTTTTGATATAACAGGGTTTTTGATTGCAGGATATTACTGTGAAATAATAATTAAATGCTGTAAAATACAATGAATTTTTACAGGTATTCAAGGAAAATTTATTACAAGTTACTGTAAAATAATACTGGCAATTCTTGTGGAAAGATGATAATTTCCAGCCGTGTGACCCTTCACAGTTTTCTGCATCCTAGAACTTTATTTAAACAAAGTCTGTTTTTGTTTTTCTGTTGAAGATTCACCTTTTAAACTTATTAAGCAAAACAAGACCTGGGAAGAAGCCCTGTACTACTGCAGAGATAACCACAGAGATCTGGCCTCCATCCTGGATGAACAGATGCAGGCCTTTTCTGAGCTGGAGGCTGAGAAGGCCAACAGTCCCTTTGTATGGCTCGGCCTTCATTACACCTGCACCCTGGACTTCTGGTTCTGGGTTGATGATAATGTTGTGCGTTTCAAACGCTGGGCTAACAACCCCCCAGAGGAGGACTGTGACATGAGTGGAGCCATGAAGACACATGGAGACCATCTGTGGTTCAGCAAGTCTGATTATGAGAAGTTTAATTGTATCTGTTTGCTTTAGGAAGATTTTAATATTCCACCTGATTATAAAGTTAGCATTGCTTTGTTTTCATTAAAACGGCCTCTTCTTTGATTGTAGAAACTCTTAGACCATTTCCCTGTATTTTTGCAATAATCACAAAGAGAGTTGGTTAGTCTAGCTTCCACTTATGTCCATCACTGTAGTAAAAAACTAAAATATGGATCCTGAAAAGCTGGATATTTGGAAATGAAAGGTTCTGTAACCTTTAACAAGGTTTTAACATTTTTTTGTTCCAGTTGAATAAATACTGTATGAAGTTAAGATCTGAAACCTCTACTGGGTTTAATTGTAATTTAATTACAACTGCCTGGAGATTCAGTTTATGTATCTGTTATGTTTCTGTAAGTAACAAAAGCTTTCTTAGGATGAACATTTCTAAGCAATAAAGAGGCTTTATTACAGTCTGACATATGTTCGTTTATGTTATTCTTAGGGTATCCTGGCTTCTCTAGGTGCTCAATGAGGTTTGTTTCTTTCAGTACACAAAGTCACACTGTCAAAAAAGCAAGCTCTAATAGAAAGATAAAAAGCCAAATTTGGAACTAAAAAATATAAAGGCATTTAGAAGAAAATGAACTCTAACAAATGTATAACATTGTCTTCATCAGAGGTGTTTTCTGCTTTGGTAAAATTCTCTTGGTTGTAAATAATTATTGGTGCTCCCCTTAATGTGATGTTGGGGAAAGCTTAAGTACTATTATTAAAAACCTTTATATATGTGTCAGTTTATCGTAAAATGTTTTTTGTGCAAATATTTCAAACATAGGAGCTAATTCAGTTCTAAATCAGATTCAAATAAACTAAATTGAAAGCATCATGAAACCAATTTTTAATACCTTTAAGTCTGATGGCATTCACATGGACATGAAGGATGACAATAAAAAAATAAAACACTCTCTAAAAGAAGCAATTTTCTTTTTAGCCTTTATATTTGTGCTGTTAATGTTTCCTTCTGGAAAATATATTTATTTTCAGTAGCAGGGCTAGTATCAACAACTCTATACCAATTCTGCATTCATTACAACTTTTAATCTGAAGGTTTGTCATTATAAAACTCAACACACTCATCAGGCATACCCAGAGCCAATGCATTAATTCCGTTCAATTCAGTGTATTTATATAGCAGCAATTCACAACACGTCATCTCATAACATAAATGTGTTTACTCTTAACCGTGGATCAGTTCGCATGAACTGCATTTAGAAATGCGTACATTAAAAAGAATTATGTGGCCTGAATTTGTGTAGTCTTTCCTTTAAATCTGTCACCACCACTCTTCTCCAATAAATAAAGCATTAGTAAATACTGAGATGTAGCTATACATCTGCATATATATAAATATATATATACATGAATAAATATATATATATATATATATATATATATATATATATATATTTACACAAAAGAGATATACGTGTATATATTTATATCCTTATTATCTTGTGTGGTTTGTTGTTTAAATATATATAAAATTGTATCTGGAGCGTGTAAAAAAAAAAAGTAATTTCCCTCTGGGATTATTAAAGTATTTCTGATTCTGATTCCGAAAATTTAATCATTTGTTGAAAAAATGTTTTAAGACATTTCCACATTATGACATTTGCATGTTTTTTGGAGAATGTAAAAAATACAGATAAACACAAAAAACTAACCTTGCTTTATTCAAATAAAATGTAAAAACGTTATGATACCCTAACCCCTAAAAGCTGGTATTACGTTTTTTGTGTCATGATGGGTTCTTAGTTTTAAGCCCAATTTGCAGAACACACATGGGAAAACTGGGTAAAAGTTCAAAGAGTTTATTTTGAACACAAGCACAGGAATACTGGAACAGATTCAGGCAGGGGAGCAGGTTCACTGGAGACTTTACTGAAACGGGAGATGGTTGGTTAACAGAGTTCATGAAAAGCTAAGCATCTAGCTTTCTGCTTAGCATGGTTGGTCTTGATCTGAGCTTCCAGCTCACTGCAGAAAACAACAGCGGATTAACACAAAGGATTCTTCAGGTTGAGCTTCCAGCTCACAGCAGAGAACAACAGGGGATAAACACGAAGGATTCTTCAGGCTGAGCCTCCAGCTCTTAGCAGGGAACAACAGGGGAAAATCCACATGGGAACATCTAGGGAAACTCCACATAGAAGTCTTCAGGTTTAATCCACATAGGAATCTTCGGGTTGGCTCACCAGGGCAGATTAGCTGGTTTAGACTCTCCTAGAGCTTCAGGCTTGAGACTGGTTTCCTGTGATGCAACTCTCCCAGAGCTGCAGGCCAGAGACAGGTCGCCAGAGAGACAGCTCTTCCAGAGCTTCACGTAGAGACAGGAGGTTGAACTCATCCAGAGCTTTCACGAAGAGACAGGTTTCCAACTAAGATCAACACTGCGGCGTGGAAGCAAGGTCAGGCAGGAGCTTATAAAGGAGAGGTCTTCTGATGAGAGGATTAGCAACAGGTGTGCAGGAAGGTTCCAGCTCCAGAAGACCCACGGCGCACTCTGCTGGAGACAGAGGGTAATCTCTAGATCCCCACAGTAACTCCAGCCCTAAGGGAAAATAGCAAAGAGCAGAAGGGGATCCTCGGCGCCCTCTGGTGGGCAAGCCTGAGGATCCCAACAATTTGTTTAAGACAACATTCGGGCCTTATAAACGACTGACATTAAAGTTTGTATTTTTCAATTTTTCATTTAATATAGAGTTACATTTCCTGATTTACTATTATACTGTCAAATTTACAAATCCCCAAACCTCTGAAACACCAAACAGAGGTGACAGAGTGTGGATCTTATGGGACCTTTTCTAAAGAGCTCTAGGGGTGACATCCATTTCCTTCTTTTGCTTGATTATTTCTCTTGGCAGATTGAGATCATTCCTGTTACCAAGGAAATTGCAGAGATAATCTCCGAGTACTTAGCCAAAAAGATTCTGACTTCCTGGGTGGGCCAACATATATTCATTCTGTTTGTTCCTTCTCTATATTCAAAGATATTTGTTAAACATGAAATCTCACACACAAGGGAACTTCAGCATTCAATCCACAAACCAATTTTATGGAAAGATTAACCTTAACATCAAGGTCATGACCCCATCGTATGTCAATGACAAAAATAAATTTGTGACCTAGACACATCTGTTTGTGCTGCTGCAAAACGGATTGCCCAGCTTCACAAGTTTTCTAAAGACCTAAATAAATCTAAAGAAAAACCGATCACTGAAGAGGGTGAAGGACTGGAAACATCAGAAAAGGTTTGTATGTGGATCCTACTCCGCCATGACTTCACAGTCTGCTGGTCCAAAGTACTCTATTAACACTAAACCACAGAAGAAGACTGTTAATTGTTACAGTGCAATCCAGTTGATTTTAGGTTGTATTTTCCAGGTAGAGCTAGAATCGAGGCATGCTTTCCCACCACAGAGGATGGATCAACCTAACATTGTCATGACCTGCTGCTCTGGGTCTTTGGTTTCAGGCGCTCAGAACGTTGGACCCAGAATTCAAGCAGACAGGTCAGATGGATACTCTGTAAACATGGAGACTCAGGTCAGTGACTTCAGAACTTAGATGATAAAGAGCGTGAAAGTTTATAACAGACCTTGAACAAACCTAGAGGTAACAACTACTTAATAAAATCATGCGAACCAAAGCCACTTAAAAAACAATTGTTAAATGTCTCAATTTTCTACACAAAAATGAAAATCAGCTCCCACTCTTCTAAAATATTCGAAATAACTAAATATAAATAACTAAAGATAGTAAATATAACTTTTTGTTAACAGTAAAGAATTGCCTTTAATGACATTCACAGCACACTGCAAAATCAACAATATTTACGACGAACAACTTTTAAAGGGTTCATTATGCTTAACACATGGACCCGTCACAGCATTTATACTCTGTGCGGCTTTCCCTCAGTCTGGCCGGCTCTGTCAACATGCTCAAACATATAGATGACAACACCACTACACTGGGAAGTAAAGAACACAGCTGTTTACAACTTTATAAAAGCCTCTTCATGCTGTTTTAAAGCCACAGTAATTTCTTTCTTGTAGTTTTTCAGCAATCTGTTGATGATGATATTTATGGCCTAAATAATGGGTAGTCTATAGATGTCTGTTGGCTTACTCCCTACATTTTCCGTGCACATCTGTCCACGTAGTTACAAATTGTCCTAGGTGCTTCATGCAGAAATTTTCTCCGCACAGAGTTCATGCAGAGGGGTGTGGAAGTCTTAAATGCTTTGAGGATGCCTCAAGTATAAACCAATCTTTAATCTGCATTACCAAAACTGTATTATGTAAATTACATTGTTAAGAAATGTACATGAAGGAAATAAATAGAAGGAATCTGTAAAATGTTATAGATAGCATTACAGTGACATCCCAGTGCGAGCCTTGCAATGACCACTTCCATTTTAAGTGCATAAAATGTTCCTAAGCAACCACAGAGGTAAACAGTACTCTCATTAGATTTTACAGTTTAGTCTATGATTTTTCAATTCCTAGAAGGCCCTCTATGAAAACATAAAGGCAAAGATGATAAAAAATCTGCAGCTGGGGAACGGTGCCAAGGCGGGAAGAGGCTACAGCTAACAACGTCTAGCTATAGAGTATAACAGCGGAGGATCAAGGGAGCATTAGGGAAAAACTGCCAGGGTGGGGAGAGGCTAATGCTGACCGAGGCTAGCCTTTGTAATGATCTGGCCCTGATAGCTGGAACTGAGCCCAATATAAAGGAAAAAATGCAAGTGGATGAGATCAGTTATAACAAGAGACCTGGCAGAGTTAGGCACTTGACTGAAATGAACAATTAAGCCCCCCCCCAACCAGACTAAGATACCTTGGAATGAAAAAAAAAACCCCACATAAACTAAGCAGGAGAAAGATGCGAAAGCAGACTTCTGTCATGATCTGGCCTGATAGCTTCACCCTAATTATTAATTTCACTTACCTGCCTAATTCTGACAGGTTCCTCATTTAATGTTTCCTCCAGAAATTCTGGTACAACGTCTGGTCTCTGTTCTCTCAACCACTGAGCCTACCCGTCTGCAACTGAACCTGCCTGTCTGCATCTGTGCATGTCTGTGTGGGCACTCTTCTAGACCCGTCTGACCCTGGACTTGGAAGGTTGTGCAAAACTTTCTATTTATTATTTAGTCTTTGTAATATATATTTCTATGACTGACTCTTTCTTAATGCAACTAGAACACTGGCAGATTTCCTGCATATTTATCGCCCACTTCCTGTTTGGGTCGGAACCTCTGATAATTCAAAGTTATTAATATGGATTCCAATAACTATGAATTTATTTTAAAACTAAATAGAAATGTAGGTATATCACAAAAGAATGATAACATAAATAATGGTCCGTGATAAGATACATCATTAAGGAATTGTTTTAACAGAAATAAAGGCTTACCAATGGTTCATAGGCCCAAACTAAATGTATAATAACTTGCGGAATGGGGGAATTAGAGAGAATTACAGCAGATTTTTTGTATTAAACCTACTTTAAAACCAAACGATCTCCCCACCATGTGGGACTTAAACCAGCGTCTCCTAAACAACAAGACGTTTTCCAAGTGGTTTAAAAGGATTGTGTGATCCGCTGTGTCAGAGGCTGCTTTTAGATCTTGAAGCACTAAAATAAAAACAATAAACAATCAATCAGTCATTTAAAAGAGATGGTTGAAAACGCTTAGAAGTGCAGACTCTCTACTCTGCAGTGCTTTGTAACCTGACTGTACAACAATCAGCATCTAGAAACATTTGGAAATTAATAAAAACACTTGTTAGAATTATTTTAATTGATTATGTGTAAGTCTGCTTGAGCCCTAATAAACCTCAATCTGCCTGTTTGTATCAGAACTGATGTTTTTCCAAGTAGTTTATCTAATTAGGATAGTTCGTCTGTCAGGATAAAAAAGACCTCTTTGTTATGTAAGTGGCAAAGATTTGGAAAATGAATGAGACCAGTTTATTTGATCTAAGAACATAGTGTAATATTTTGACATTGCTGGAGTCATGGATGTCTCCTCCTGTACAAATGTGCAAAGATTTGATGATTTTGTGAATCATTTTATACAACATTCTGAAGTTGTATAAAATGGTTCTTCAACTGGGTTTCAGGGCACCTTTAACAAGAAGTGAACCTGGTTGGTAAGCAGCTGCCTTCTGTAACCCTAAGCAACTTCTCTGGTCAGAGTAAGATTAGAGCCGGGAACTTTAGACCCTCAGAGCACAAGCACACTGCTCTTACCACCAGGCCAACCCCCCCTCAATAACAATATTGATAACTTGTTCAATCTGATGGGGCAGCAATCTCAAAAGAGACTCATAGACTTCCCTGTTCTCATACAGGTTCTCCATCACTGCTAGGGGATTTCCTAGGTATTCCAAGGCCTGCTAATAGCCCACCTAGTGGGCGATAAATATGCAGGAAATCTGCCAGTGTTCTAGTTGCATTAAGAAAGAGTCAGTCATAGAAATATATATTACAAAGACTAAATAATAAATAGAAAGTTTTGCACAACCTTCACTCACTGCGATGGACTGGCGACCTGTCCAGGGTGGACCCTGCCTCTCGCCTGTAGACAGCTGGAGATAGGCACCAGCACCCCTCGTGACACCACTTGGGATAAGCGTGTAAGAAAATGGATGGATAGATGGACAACGTTCAATCATTAGTATAATGAGTTTTATTAAACCAGAAGTTTAATCTTATTCTAGGAAGGTATAGCCTTGTGTTCAGAGTGAGATATGGAAACGTAGAGAGAGCTAACCATGCTTCATGCAGTGCTTCCTTACATACTTCCTCAAATGTAAACACAAACAGCTGATCTTGTTTATCAAAGTTTTAATGCCAGGAATTGCAACATACTGACAGCCAAACAGGCCAGGATCAAGTCAGAGGAACTGAGGAGAATCACCTATGAGGAATCCCATAATGCATTCTGTTCAAGTGCTTCTAGCTCAGACATGACCTAGCTGGTTCATAGTTCAGATAGGAAGTCTGAATCCCTCATTTGTTTCATCAGAATTTTCTGAAAACGTGTAAAGAAAAAATACATTTAGAAAATGACAAAAGTAACACTTACACTACAGTTAATAATAGGACTGTATGAAAAATATATAAAAGGGACTGACATAACTAAAAGTGTTAATAGATAAATTTTTGTTTTGTTTTTCTACTGTGGGTATCATAAAAAACTACGTTGGATTTTCAGGTCAAGGTTGGAACAAACCACTAAACCTCTTGGCTGCTTTTCTATGTCCATTGAACCAATCTATCTATTTTCTGTCACACTTATCCCTGCTGGTGACGTGAGGGGTGCTGGTGCCTATCTCTAGCTGTCAATGTGTGAAAGGAGGGTTACCCCCCTCCCAGGTCGCCAGGCAACACAGAGACACACAAAGATGCATACTGTGCACACACTTTACCTAACAGCATGTTTTTTGACTGAAGGAGGAAGCCGGAATACCCGTAGATAACCTACGCATACACAGGGAGAACATGCAAATTCCATGCAGAAAGACCCCGGGCTGGGAATCAAACCTTTTTGCTGCAAGTCAGCAGTGCTACTCACTGTGCCACCTTTCTCTTTTTTTTCACCTACTTCACATGTACCTTTTTCCTCCTTATTTCTTTGTTTATTGCAGGAAAAAAGCAGACAAACAAAGGTCCTGCTTTGCTACAGTGTTAAATTGTGTAGGTATGGTGGTACTTAGATAACCTAGTTAAATTTACTTCAGTAGTACTTCTTATAAAAGCAGCTGTTGTCAATGGGGCTGTTCTGTCTATCAAAGGCACATTCATAAACTTTTTATTTTAAACTGAAGTTACTAAGAAATAGGAAGAACAGAGCTGTTGTTGAAAAGCTCACTGTTTACTCAGACTCTCATGATCAACAAAAGTAAATGTATTTACCTATCTGAAAAGTAGACACAAATAACATTTCATAAAAACACATAGCAAGAAACATCCTGCTGAGGTGACTAAAGTTAATATGATCTGAAGAGGTCATATTTGATTAGTGAAACCCCAAACAATGTAGGGTAAAGGTTTATTTCACGTGGTAAAAACAACATTTTCAGTAGCAGGAAAAAGTTTGGAACAAAGCAACCATTTTTTGTTACTGTGTAAAAGTATATACGTGAAATACCACTAATAAACTGAGGGCATATTTACATTTTATGGTTGCAATGTGAAGATGACATATGGGACACACCAATATTTATTTTTTATCTAATGTAAATAAGATACAAAGGTCTGAATTTGAATGAACCTATCAGCTACCATCTAAATATTTGAATTAGAGTGTGATTAATTCATTTCTATAAAAGCTGCAGTGGAGGAAGCAGAATTCACTCAGGAGGTTAAGTGAACATCAGAGTGGAACGAGGACCAACTGCTGAGGTGAGGGAGGCTGTTAAACATGAACTGACAGAAAGTTTTCTTTTTTCTTTGCCTAGTTTCATTTCTGAAAGACCGTCATTAATTTGAGTATGTTGTTTACAACTATTTTCACTAACTGGATAACATTTTTTTTCCTTCCAAGATGCTGTGGAGTTTGGTTTTCGTCTGGGTTATAAGTAAGGGTCTCATTTTATTCAGCTGAATGTCTTTCTCATTAATGTAAAAATATTACAGAGAGAAGTAAGAGTTCAGATTCACAACATCAGATCTACTTTGAAAGAGCTGAATCGTTTTTTCAAAGATTTTTAAAAATGTAAATATTAGCGTTATTTCAATAACTTCTCTGGAATTTACAGCAATCCAAAATGTAGCTGTGCAGACAACAGGTAGGATCAAATATTCTTTGTTAAACAGATCATTTCTGCTTAAATAAATCAAAATGTTAGATGAGCTATCTATAAGCTAAATGCAACAAAAATATCATTTATTTATTTTTTTTGTATTTGATCCTCAGATCTCTGTAACAAAATGAGCATAAGTCTGAAGGCAAAGAATGCATCCCAGTCCTCAACCTTAGACTGGATAAAGACTAATGGAGAACACGTACCACTGATCCCTCCCAGAGCCTTTGATGGGGATCCCAGAACATGTTGTCGCACCCAGAATCAGACTAACCCCTGGTGGAGGATTGACCTGCAGGGGATTTACAACATTTCTTGCATCTCTATCCATACCAAACGAAATGATGTAGCTAACATATCTGGAGCTCAGATCTACATCGGGAACTCCCTAGAGAACAACGGCACCAACAACAGACTGTAAGAACAACATGATACAATAATGGGATTTATTTTATATTTTCCTATTGACCTTAAAATAATACTTTTAATAACATGACTATGTATTCCATGTAATTGTTTTTAATTATTTGTCTTTGGAGGCAGTTTTCAAACATGGAAGTATATTTTTTGCCTGAAAGTCCCAGAAAGCTGAAAGTCATTGAAGTTTTTAAAATGGAAGCATCACAATCTCACTGCTTTCTTTAGGTGTTCCTTCTTCTGCATCTTTTGTCACAATAATGTTCAGTAGTATTCAGTGTCTGATCAGCTGTATGTTTGAATATTTTTCCTCATCCAGGGTTTACAACATCACAGAGCAAGGACAGGAGATAAACTATGAAAACCTTAATATGATTGCCTTCAGCTTTCCCACATCAGCGTTGGGGCGATACGTCACTGTGTTCAGACCAGGCCAAAATCATCTGGTTCTTTGTGAGGTGAACATCACTGGTATGTTTGATTTAATTTACCCCCATAAAGGGAAAAACATAAAATTATTAGAAGCTGCAGATAGTTTGATGCTTAAATGTCTCAATATTTTAACTTGGACATTTTTCAGATATATCAATACACTTTTAAGCTATATGATCTTTTTTGTTTATATATATTTTTTCTTAAGTATAAGAAGTTAAGGTTTGATTTGGTACTTAACAGAAAAATACAAAGTACAGGGAAAAAATACAACAAAATGTAAAAAACAACAAAACACAACCTAAATGAATCAAAACACCTCGAGGTCTGCTACATATATATATTAAAATGATTAAGTGATTTTATTAGTTTGACTGATTTATCCTTTTATCCATATTTTTAAATGGTACTCGAAGTTCTGTTATTTTAAAGGTACAGTAGCAGCTATTCAAAATGGTCCTTCCCTGTCAAACAGCAGCCAAATGACAGCAGACTTCCCTGCAACTCCCAGCCATTGCAGTGACCTCCTCCTTCTCCTGGGAGTGCATTTTTTTTTTTCCGGCTCCACCCTTTCATTGTATTACAGGGTAGATGCCTGCGCGGGACAGATTTCCCAGTCCCACCCCCGCCCGCTCTCGCAGTGTTCAGTCCCGCTCCCGCCCACACCTGTAATAGTTTGTCCCGTTCCCGCCCGCAATTTCCGCATGACTCCAACGTTCGCATAGTGCTCAAGGCAATACGAGTTATTAGTTTGAGTAATTAAACACACTGTGCTTAGCTGAGCACATTACTGGCGGATTCTTCACCGCATAGTGTATGACGCGCGTTAGGTGGCACGAGCTTCACAGCAATGCCCAACTAACCTACCAAAATCTACTGAGGATATTAAGAATAATATATTGTGCATAATCTTATATGGCACTCATCATCACATTCACGTATGAAATAAAAATACAATAAGTTATAATTAATCATTTTAAACCCCATATGATGGAGCCCCACCCAGCACATTGTGATGTAGGCCTATATATGATAGACATAGATTGATAAATTATGACTTTATTTTACATTTTAAAACACGTTTTTAGTTTGCGGGACTGCAGCTTATCACCACTCCCGTCCGCATCCGCAATGAACATTTAATATTTGTCCAGCGCCGCACTGCTTTGCGTTGGGTCCCGTGAGTCCCGCGGGAGTGCAGGGCTCTATTGCAGGGTCTGACCAGGCACTTCTCTTCAGATATTAATGTCCACCAATTATGACAGAAAGAACATTTTGGTACAAAGATCTATGTTTAAAAAGGAATTGTAGGGGACCAGCCAAGGGCCCATCAAGGAAAGTGGGGAGATTTTGAATGGCTACTACTGTATAAAAGGAGGGTATGTTTTTTTTTTTTTTGGCAAATCATTGTAGATAATATTTTGCTAGAATTATAATAATATATTTTTTATTGGTTGCTAAATTTGGATAAGTTACTATAAGAAGCATTTCTAATTTGCTCAAAAAAATATCCTTCATTTATGGAATATACATCTTTGCAAATAGAAATAGAAAGAACATGACATGGACATGGACATAATCAATGGTTTCTAATTCACATTCACTAAAAAGGTACAGTTGTTACTTACAGAAGAAAAAATACTTATATTTGCTTCGGACAAGTAATAAAACTGACGTACAATTTTGAAAACAACCTCTTTGACTTTGTTCATAACAATATGTCGATCAGGTAATAGGAATCTGAAGTTCCAGAGTTTCCTGTCCATAGGAGTCCATCTGTGTTTACAGATAGAGGTAGACTGGCAAAAGCTGGTTCCTGATAAAAAACTTTAAAAACTTCAGCTATAATAGAGAACCAAGTGATACAGGCAGAGAGGTAGCCATTATAATGCTTTGTGCTAAAGAGACAATACTGATGGGAATAGAACTGATCAACATGTTAAACTCTTCTCTAGAAGTATATATATATATATTCCATAACATGAGGACCTCTTTTTCATGACATACTAAATTTAAAACAAAGAAACACAAAATTATGTTTTAATAGTTCATTGTTCCTGCTGTATTATGTACTGACTAAATAAACTGACGATTTGGGGTTTCTTACACATGATTAAAGACGTTTTAATAAAATATAATAAAACTGAATTTTAATAATCACTCATGGAGATGTCAAGCTTTCATTTAAAAACAGGATATGTTACCTTCCTGTTTGTGAAGCAGAAGCTAGCTATGATTTATAGTGAGGCTGCCGTAGTAGATGTTTGGAAACACTGCATCATAAAGCAAGGTTTAATGAAGATTCATTTTTACCAGCATCCATTTTGTCTGATTATTACATCTGCACCAATAAACTACATCTGATCAAAACAAGACTGTGTGGAAATGTGCTAAAACCCTAACGATGGTTCTTCCTCTGCTGATGCTCCCTCTGATCAATACATCCTCTACCACATCTGCTCACCTCCCTGAAAAACAACAAAGACACAGTTTTATTATCCCAGCTGCAAAGTCAAATGGCAACAACAAGTGCTAAAATATGTTTTGAATCGATTCATTGGAAAAAAATTTAAACTGTATCCTAAAATAAGGCCTTTATATGGTGGTAGGTAGCAATTATGTGTCTGGATGTGCCAACCAGTCGGGAGAAAGGGATCAGAATCAGTGGCTTATCTAAGAACACTGATTAAAAATAAGATGGTGTACTTTAACCAATAGTTTGACCTAGTTTACTCCATCACTGACCACCCTGCTCATTTCTCAGCTATTTCTATCCTGAAATATGTCCGTTAATTATTCTTAATCTATCATTCTGTCTCAGTTTAGGGATCATCAACTTTAAGGCATGATTACAAATACTGATTAAAAATAAAACAAATTCAAATGAAAAAATAGCCACTTGGTTAATGTTATGGTGTTAAATCACTTTTGTTTAAACATAAGTTCTTTAAAAGCATGGAGAATACAATAAACGACTTATTATACACTTTGGTGATCCTATGCATCACACTTCAGTAGTTAATTGAGTCAGTCTGGTTAATTCAACTAAAAATCTGAAATGATTGGTCTTCACAATAACATTTCTCTTTAATGATGATACTTATGCTGCTCTCTTGGATCTGTTGTCTGTCTAAGCAACTTTAACTCAAATTAATTTAACCATGTCATTATCATAGTCAGTAGAAAAAGTTAAACATGCTTTCTAGTAGTTTGATGGTTTAGAAACCAGTTTCAAAACCAGTTAAAGCTTTTAGAATCCACAGCAACTTAAATCTGTTGCTATAGAGAACTTTTTTTTAATCCTATGGGAGTTTAAACTTCTATTCTTAGCATATAATATCCAATTGATAATTTTTCAGTTTTGGTTTTATTTATTGACTTAATATTTATATTAAACTGTAATTTAAAAAGGTGAGTTGAGATTTTTTTATAAGCTAAATTAAGGACCAAATCGGACCCATTTAAACTGGATAACACCTACCATGCTAACAATTAGCTAGCTGCAGGTATACAACAGATGATTAAAACAATTAATTTTATTTGACAGCATCATGTCAGGTGCGGTGGAGCTTTGACAGGAGGACCCAAATGCAGGCACCAAAGCAAAAGTGTTTTTTAAAAAAAAGGGTAACAGAAGCAAAAATCCAAAAACATGAATCCACAAAAATCTAAAACTACTGAAAACCAGGAATACTCACAGCAAGGGGGCAAACAATATGACAACAAACCGACCAAGAGTGACTGAACAGGAGGATGATATATGGGAGAGAAAAACAAAGACCAGGATAATTAGTAGATTGGGAGCAGGTGTGAACAGATGCAAGAAGGGAGCTAGGGAAAAGGAGACTGACACAGGAGGGCAAGAAATATCTAAGAACTCAAATACCATCAAAAATAACTAGAACACAAACATTGAAATAAAACCAATGAAAACTCAGAGATAAAACTTGAACAGAACCAGAACAATGACAAATCAGATATAAATGCTGACTATTTTGCTATGGGGCAGTCAGCTTTAATTTCACAATGGCAAAATATTTAGTAATATCATCAACTTACCTTAGAACATAATATATTTAGTAATATCTTCAACTTACCATAGAAAATAATTCCCAAACACCTAGTCATTTGCTGGCTTCCAACTAATAGGAGCTGAATATCCAGCCAATCAGATCCATTAGAATAGCATCTCCCCCAAAAAACAGAAACAACCTCTAAGTGAGCTGGTCCCACTAGAAGGTGATTGTTCCCGGGTTAAAATGGATTTTTGGCCAGTGGGAATGTCATGGTCTTGGTTCTGTTCTTTATTTTGCTCCTTATTCTCTAGTTTTATTGGTTTAATTCCAGTTTTGTTGTAATTTCTAGATTCATATTAGTTCTCATGTTTTTCTGTTGTCCTCTATTGCCCTCTTGTGTGTGTATGTTCCTTTCCCCTTGGCTCCCTCATTGCCTCCTCTCACACCTGCACCTTGTCTGCTCGTTAGCCCTCCCTTTGTCTCTATCTGCTATATATGCTCTCCCTCTGCTCTCACTCTTTGTTGGTTCCTTGTCTTCGCTGTCTTCCCATGCTGTGGTCTACGTTCCTCATCTCTTCCCGGCTCCTTGTGTTTGGTTTTCCCCAGATGTCTCCATAGTTCTGGTTTGCTTTATATTTCTCATGTTTGATTTTGGATTTTTGGATTCCCGCCTCTGTTACCTCTGTTTATTTAATTAAACTGCAAGAAATATCCTCAGCCTCTGCCTCTGCATTTGGGTCCTCAAACCACCACTGAAACCTGACAGGGAAAGGTTATTTGAGAAATCCCAGTTGAGGTTTGAACCTGGGTCTATTGAGGTAAGCAGAGAGAACGTAGAGCCATGCCGAAATATGTTACTTCCAGTGAGGCTAAACCTTTCTTTCTGTCTAAATGTGATTTGAGCAGCACAAGCAGCACATCAAGGTACATCAAAAGGTCCTCCAGTTGTCTCGAACAGCCAGGGCAGTTCATCTTGACCTATAGGAGCAATCAAACCAGAACTCTCGAGCTTCTGAGACACAT